AATAAAAACAAAATTTGCTGAACAGTGAAATTCATCATGTAAATCTTCTTTATCCTGCTGTTACTTTCTCCTTGGTCCAAATATTATCCTCAGTACTTATTCCACGGAACACAAACCTTCTTCAGACAGTAATCTTAATTCAGCGCAGTTGGTGTAGAAACTGGCTCATGGGATGAGAAGCCAAGCGGTCCGAGTTCAAATCTCATGGGGGCTAGACTTTCCCCCTCTCCACATCGTCCAGACTAGTTCTGTGGCCCACCCAGCCCCCTATCCAGGTTCTTTCTGCTGGTGTAAGGTGGCAGGGGTGTGAAATTTTTAAAAAGAAAAAAAAACAAGGCATTTTTATCAATTTAACAATCAGACATAAAAACCACCCTTGAAAGAAGACTTCTCAAAAAGAGGATGTCTAATGACCCTAATTGTAGGGACATTGGCACTTGAATCTTCCATTCTACCTATACTCCTCCAGCTTCCTTTGGCCTATGTCAACCAGTCCAAAACACTTGTTACTGAAGGAAGTTAGCACACTGCTATCTCTAGCACCGCTTCTATGAACAGATTGGCAGGTGAATGGAGGGGAGGGAATATAGGGAAATTTCTACACTGTACAGTTTTTACATTATAAAGTTACTGAACAACTTTTATTATTGTATGGATACTATAATATGGATACTTACTTCATATGATCCACACTATACTTTGGCACATAACAATCGTCAGATTCACATCCTTCCCGTGGGACAACAGCCATCAGCTGCTTCCACACATCTCGAATCTCTAGCATATGAACCAGATCATAGACAACTCCTGGGGGTAGTTTCCGGATTAACGAACTTCCATCCATTATTAAGCTACACAAAAATTAAATCGTGTTTCAAAAGCAAACATTAACGTAAATAATGATTACTGACACAATGCAACACAACGGTCCATTTTGTAATAAATAGAATATAAATAATGACATATAATGACTACTAATACTTCTTGTTAATATGTACTTAATTCCTGTCTCTGTGTCATAACAGAATTTGAGGTTAATAACTTGCTAATGGTATTAAATGGCGTAATTAAAATTATTTGAAATTTACTTTGCGAAATTAAATACTTCTGTTAATGCAAATAGCGTGCTGGATTTTGTAATATTACCACTGCTCACTAAAATTCGTAATACCATATCTAAAACGTCTGAAACTACACTATATCTTAGACGACTTCGACCCCCTTACTTGTGTTTACACCGAACAACACTCAATGATCTGCAACTCAATATTTTTCACTCGGAAATCTCTTTCAAGATACGACAGTGCCGCAATCTTCTCCTAACGTAATTGTAGGTTGGTCTCCGGGCTCAGTCGGCAGTGAGTGTAACTATAGTTATTATTTATAGGTCTAAGTACATGGGGAAACCCACCCTCTTTAATAACTAACTAACTAACTAACTAATAGTTATTATACTGCTGCCTTAACACAATCTTAATCAGCAAATTTTTAAAACAGTACAACGTAAGGGCTACAAATGTTGCTCCACACCAGTCTGACAAAATACATTTCTGCTTCCTATCTCTTCATGTTCCTTAAAGCTCTTTAACCTGCCCTGATTGACACCCCAATGTTATTTTCTTTATTGTAGAAATAATATTGTAAATATAAAAAAGGCCTAGGCAATGCCCATCCGTGCTTCTGTAGCACATTCTTATAAATATCTTATTCTATAATAGCGGTATCCGCGCAATTCTTAATATTAGATCCAATCTTAAATCTGACAGTATACTGTTAATAATCAGTACAATTACTTCTCTTACTTTTCTTAGGTATCTATTTTATATAAACGTAGGAATGATGATTATGAAGTAACAGAAGCCTTGCAGAAATCTTTTTTCTTCTAGCCTTATGAGCTCTATAAGTGACTTTGGGTATTCTTTTTTGCTGTACTTACTTACTTATGGAGATGAGCCCTTCTTGAGGAGCCACCAAATCTGCAGCTATTCAAGAATTTTCCAGCATTTTATGCAACTCGAAGGTTCATTACCGTGTTCACAAGAGCCCTCCACTGGTCCCTATCCTCAGCCAGATCAACCCAATCAATACCATCCCTTCCTATCTCTCTAAGATCCATTTTCATATTGTCCACCCACCTACACCTTGGTCTTCCCACTGGTCCCTTTCC